GAGGTGTTGGTATAAGAGATTTGATTCCTTCATTATGTGCCTTGGATACAACAGACTTAATGTAGACCCTTGTGCTTATTTCAAGAGGTCTGGTGATAACGATTTTGTTATATTGCTGTTGTATGTGGATGATATGTTGGTTGCAAGACCCAACAAAGATCATATTGAAAAATTGAAGGCACAACTGGCTAGGGAATTTGAAATGAAGGACTTGGGATCAGCAAACAAGATTCTAGGGATGCAAATTCACAGAGACAGAAGTAATAGGAAGATTTGGCTTTCACAAAAGAATTACTAAAAGAAGATCTTGTCACGATTCAACATGCAAGATTGTAAGCCAATTTATACCTCTCTTCCTATTAACTTCAAATTATCTTCCAGTATGAGTCCTAGCAGTGAAGAAGAGAGGATGGAGATGTATCGAGTACCGTATGCATCAGCAGTGGGAAGTTTAATGTTCGCTATGATATGCACAAGACCAGACATTGCACAAGTAATGGGAGTGGTTAGTCGGTACATGGCAGATCCAGTCAAAGAGCATTGGAATACAGTAAAGAGGGTTTTGAGATACATCAAAGGGACCTCAAATGTTGTATTATGTTACGGAGGATCAAATTTACTTATCAATGGGTATGTTGATTCTGACTATGCAGGGGATTTGGATAAAAGCAAATCTATTACAAGATATGTGTTTAAAGTTGCTGGTGGAGCTGTAAGCTGGGTTTCAAAATTGTAGTCAGTTGTGGCTACATCCACAATAGAGGCAAAATATGTAGCAGCTATACAAGCCAGTAAAGAAGCAATTTGGTTGAAGATGTTATTGGAGGAGCTTGAGCACAATCAAGAGTATGCCTCTCTGTTTTGTGACAGTCAAAGTGCCTTGCATTTAGCAAGGAATCCAACATTTCATTCAAGGACAAAGCACATACGAGTTCAGTACCATTTCATTCGTGAAAAGGTAGAAGAAGGGACGGTAGGTATGCAGAAGATCTATACCAAAGACAACATAGCAAATTTCATGACGAAGGCAATCAATGCTGATAAATTTACCTGGTGTCGATCCTCTTGTGGCTTGTCAGAAACGTAAGCAACATGATGGTACAAGGTAGAAAGAATGGTATGAAGATATGATTGTTCCAATCAAATCTTCAAGTGGGAGATTGTTGAAATACAAATTTGGAAAGTCTAAATTAGCTGCTGCCACTAAACTTTCGGTGGAAAGTTTGAAAAAAAACAAACAAAATAATTCCACCTAAATTTGGTTGGAAAATTGGAGCAATTGGCAGCATGATTTTGATGACTTTTGAAATGGTAAAATCTCAATTTTAGTCATTGTAATTTAGGGTATTTACAAACTAGTCCTTAAGCTTCAACTATAAATACCCTAGCTCATTTAGCTTCAAAATCATCCCAAAGCATTCTAGCTTTCTTCCAATACTAGAGAGAATTTAGAGAGTTTCTTAAGAGTTGTTTTCTCATTTTTATCAAGAGAGAATTATCATTGTTTTCTCCTTGGTAGATCGAGAGAAGTTGTAATTCCTATATTAGAGGTTTTTACCCTATATTATTTAGGGGTTTTCCACGTAAATTTTGTCTCTTTTATCTTCATTTTTATTTTCTAAAATTATCAGTTGCGATTTTGCTCTATCTGATGGAGCAAACTGGGTTTGAAGGGTCACCCTTGCCTCTGCAGTGTCCGATCTGGATTAGTCGGTCAATAAATCAGATACCAATTAATTTAAAAAAGAAATTAAAAAAATATATCAAACTTTTACTAATTACAACTCTTCAATTCATAATTACGATCAATTCCCAGATGTGTGGAATAGGATTTGGGCGATATCATATTATCTTATGAGAATTTTAGCGGTTTGTAAGGGTTCCCAATATCCCACGGTGAATTGACAAAGGGGAGTGAGCCCCCCAAGAAATGACACTTTTCTAATACTACGAGTATACGACTAGGAAGGATCCTATACAAGGACACTATAGTTCTTGAAATGACGACCTTCAATACCCCCCTTCCGATTGTCCCTTCTCACCCATATTCCTTTTCCTATGCTATGCATTTTCTTTATGTATATTTGCCTGTAAACTAAAAGAGTTACTCTCCATCCCATAATTTATGTTTTATATTGATTATACACATAATTAATGAGTTGAAAGTAAAGCACCAGCTTGACCCACAGACCGTCCGATGTTTTATATGAAATTAAAGTTCGAAATATACATACATGCTAAGTATGATACGTTTGATGTTTTGGCACTCCTTGTATCAATTAATGAACTAGTATTGTCGAAGCAAAACAATCCTTACCGACACATGAACCATCATATTACTTGAAACAAAAATGAGGGTTGATCAATATCGATTCTTTATCGGTCCAATCACCACTAACTATCATTTGTCACACGTGATGTTATTCGCCCACCAAAACAGCTGTAAGCTAAACATATTAAATTTTGCTCTAAAAAGGATGAAACATAAAAGACGTAAGATCTATTACTACCAACCCCTCAACTAACAAATCTCCCCTACCCCCTTAAATTGTAAATAAACTCGATATCTTTTAGGGTTTTACTCTCTTGCCTCCACACCGTTTGGACACGACACAAGCCGATTGGGTAGCATTTGTCGGGACGGAATACTGTCCTGTGGGGGCGGTAGTTTATGGGATTTAGGGATGGGATGTCTATAAAAGACGGCTTTATGGGCCTACTGCCTTTGGGACCACTTTTTTCTAACCTTCTCTTGTGCGATGCAGCCGAGAAGAACGTGGCCTACTTGTGCCCTTCATTTAATACTGTGCTCATCACCTCCACACCCTCTTTGCCTCTATGGTCCAACACCAACTCACCTCTCCAACCTTTCTTCATTCAATGTTGTTTGATGTACACCATGAATTTGGTGGTTTATGGTCGTCCTATAACGGAGAATGGAAGAGATCAATCGATGTTTTGATGGTTCATCTTTTCTAATTTGAAAAACAAAATTATTCGATTTACGTTTTTTGAAAAGTTTCCTTTAATCAATTCCTCTACACTTCAACTCCCTTCTTTCGAGAATGAGGTTGACATTATCTTGATTTATGTAGGTATGTTTTATTAATTTAATAATTATTTAATGAAAATTTTTAATTCCATTAAGTTATTTAAGCACATTAGTTGTAACGTAGACAAATCAATGTGATAATATAATTGACTTTAGTAATACAACATTCTAAAATAGCACCTTAAGGGCTAAGAATATGAATAATAATGGATTAGTTCGAGTCGAGTTTTCGACCAATCTGATTAGAAAAACATACATTCACCATTCGAATCAAACCCAAGTTTTGAAATATTTTATTTGACTTAAAACTCGATATGAATTTTGAGGTAAAAATTTGTATTCGACCTAAGCATTTGAGAGGTTTTATTTTTAGCCGAATATAATTAAAAAAAAATTGAATATTAGATCGGAACAAGTATAAAAGAGAAAAGCATTTGACAACGTGAGTGAGAGTGGCATCCACCATTAGCTTCACCGACGGGGATGGCTGAATTGGCAACGACCCTTTGGTTGCTCCAAGAGACCTTTCCGATTTACAACATTTTATTTTTAAAATAATTACCAAATATAATAATAACAATAATAATAAATTATATATCAAGAGAGACGCACGTGTTACGTCCGTGACTGCCATGCTGGCTAAATGTGTAACTCTGCTCAGCGTTCTGACTTATGTCACGTGCACCATTGCTGTTCCCGGAGAACTGAAAACCATGCCCAAAAATGTAGTAAAAAAGTTATTATAAGTACGAAATATCATCTGATATATATTTTAGTTTTATCAGGTAAAATTTAAATTTAATTGAAAAATATTGATATACCAGAATAATTATCCTTTAATTATAAAATCAATTATATTATTACGTCTTAGTCTTGTGATTAATTGTCGTCCATCCTGAAAATTTTAAATTAATATATATTTTAAATATTTTCTTTATAATTTTAATTAATGATTTGTTTTCGTTCTCATCAAATTTTATAAGATCGTCAATCTTAAAATTTTAAAAGTTCTTCCCATATCCTAAAATTATGTCTTCGTCTCTGTCTAGATCGAGTAATGTATTTTTACCCTAAACATGTATCTAATATTTTCTTTAAAAAATTTATCGATCCAGTTCATAGTTGATTTTTTTTAAAAAAAAACTCAACTCTATAAAACTATATTAAATCAAAACTCATCGAATTCTGATCAAATCTTCATTCTATATAGAGAATGAATGAGACAAATTATGCTACAATAGTTGTTATTTTTAGAGATCTAAGATTCAAGTATATCAAATAACATGGTATTTAAGCGTTCACTATCAAATGAGTTGAGAATCTTTCGAAGAGATGCTACCTTGTAATAACTTTTATATTAATAAAAAATAATGTACTAACATTTAACTAAATTCATATTAGACAAGTAATAGTTTTATCTTCCACGATTATTTATGTTCGTTTTCCCGTACATATAATGATTTTTCTTTACTTATTTGAATATATAAAAAAAAACCAAAATGCACTCTGTGTTATATTATAAGGACCTATACAGTATTTTTTCCAAGCCCACCTTAGCACTGACCCCCAACCTTCCATCTTTAAAGTACGCCGCGGTGGCTCTTGGCTAGAGTACGCCCTTTTTATCAAGGAATGAGCTTTCTCTTTTCTTCCTCCTTATTTAAGTAGAAAAATTAAGAGAGAGAAACAGAGGGTGAACGGGAACCTTTTAGTTTTATAAGTTGCAGGCTTTTGGAGCATCGTGTCGGGGTGTGTTTGATTCTGATTCGGGAATTAATAATATTTATTATATATTCGCCAAAATTTTAGATATATTTTTTTCGGGATATTGGGGTAATATTTTATTACCTTAAAGATTCATTTTTTTCTTTTTAAGTATATAAATAGAATTCTGCATCTGGGGTTCTCTCTATCATCATTGTTCGTTCCTCGCAAAAGGGAAGCTTCGTTTTGTTGAAGCGAGAATCAGAGAAAGAGAGGAACTTTAGTAAATCCCAGATCACAAATTTCTCAGAGAACAAAAGAGCTGTAATAATGGGTAAGCCCTTTTGCTTCAATATTCTGGAGACTCTGGTTTGTCTTTGTTTTGTTTGCTCTTTTGACACACTGAAAATTTTTTGCTTGATTTTCTCACCGGGTTTTCGTTTTGTTATCAGGGTATCTGATATGGATTGCTCCTTATAGTGTCTCTCATTGGCTGATTATGGTTTTTTTTCTCTTTTTGTAGAGATGAACATGAGCTTTTCACATGATATTGATGATGAATATGAGAAATTCATCAGAAGAATGAATCCACCCAGGTAAGCATCAGAAGACCATCTTCTTCATTCTACTTTCCATTAGAATTATTCGAAACCTGATGGAAATTTTTCACAATTTGCATACCGTTCTTTTCAGGGTGGTGATTGATAATGAAACCTGCAAGAATGCAACTGAGATACGAGTATGTCTATAACTCTTTGGATTTTCCATTTTTCTTTTTTTTGCCTTCTTTGACCATTTCGGCACTTATTTCATTTTTGTAATTACAGGTTGATAGTGCAAACGAACATGGAATCCTTCTTGAAGTTGTGCAGATCCTTACTGATCTTAACCTTATCATTACTAAAGCTTACATATCCTCTGATGGAAATTGGTTCATGGATGGTAGGATATCCCAGTTCTTTTTAACTATCAAGTTGTCTGCTATGTATTCAATTTGATTCTGAAATTATTTTTTCTTTCTTGGGACCAGTTTTTAATGTTACTGATCAAGATGGAAATAAAATCTTAGATGAAGGGATTCTAGATTATATCAAGAAGGTATGCAGTAAAAAAACCCTTTGTTTTTGTCTTGTTTTCATGCCCGTCTGATTTTTTTTGTCTTGTGTACAGTCTATGGGGCCTGAATCTTGTATCCCATCATCAATGAGATCTGTTGGGGTGAAGCAATCGATGGACCACACTGCAATCGAGTTAACTGGGAGTGACAGACCCGGATTGTTATCTGAAGTGAGTGCTGTCCTTAGGCATCTTAAATGCAATGTAGTGAGCGGTGAAGTGTGGACGCACAACACTCGTGTTGCAGCTGTGATGCAAGTGACTGACGAAGAAACGGGAACTGCAATCACCGATCCTGAAAGGCTCTCTGGGATAAAGTCGCTTCTTTGCAATTTACTCAAGGGAAGCAACAAATCCAGCTTGGCCAACACTGCGGTCTCTAACTCGGTCACACATACCGAGAGAAGGCTTCACCAGATGATGTTTTCTGATAGGGATTATGAACGAATGAGCAATGATGTCTTGGATGATAGGCAAGGGCCTAATGTGGATGTTGTTAATTGGTATGATAAGGACTATTCAGTGGTTACCATTAGGTGTAAAGATAGACCAAAACTCCTCTTTGATACGGTTTGCACCTTGACAGATATGGACTATGTAGTGTTTCATGCAAATATTGGTACTGAGGGTCCAAATTCTTATCAGGTAACGACTGGCTACTTCTCATGACTTCGGGTTGAAGGTTGGTTATGCACGCATTGTGTTCTAATTAATTTGCTTACTACGTCTCGTGTTCTTTTAGGAATATTACATTCGGCATGTAGACGGATATCCTGTGAAATCAGAAGCAGAGAGACAGAGAGTAACTCAGTGTCTCGAAGCAGCAATCGAGAGAAGGGTATCTGAGGTGAGTCCACTGTTCTATATATCAGAATTTGTGAGTATGCAAACTTAAATAGATTAGTGATGACAAGACACGAAGTTCACAATGAACATGATTACATGAAACCATTAACATAATGATACGAAACTGTTTCAGGGTTTGAAGCTTGAGCTTTGCACGACAGACAGAGTTGGATTACTGTCGGACGTTACACGCATCTTCAGGGAGAATAGCCTCACAGTCACCCGAGCCGAAGTGACAACGAAAGAAGGCAAAGCTGTGAATACATTCTACGTCCGTGATGCTTCAGGGTACCCGGTTGACACTAAAACAATTGACTCGATCCGCGAAGTGATAGGCCGGACTATACTAAAAGTTAAAGGCTCCCCTGAAGACCTAAAATCAGCTCTTCAGGAATCTCCAACCAGGTCCCTTTTCGGTGGTCTCTTCAAGTCAAAATCTTTTGTCAATTTCAGCTTGGTTAGGTCCTATTCTTAAGGAATAGTACATTCAAACCCCTCCACCTGTAAATATTAAAACAGCATCCCATTTAGGAATCATTTATCTCTTCTGGTAAACGAAGACCGTCGATCGAACGATCTGTAAATTTCGTACTCACATCGTGTTCAATTGAAAGTTGGATACAAAAATCTTATCTGTTCGACGATATCTAGCTAAGTTGCGTTTTGACTACAAGTTTGGACTGATGTTCACAGATTAGATAGGTTGCTTCATTGCTATGAACACACTAATCAAACCATTAATAAATTAGTACTATTTTGAAGAAAAATGAGGCCACTAAACTTTTTTGATTGGTGGGTGACTACCTACTTTGAATGCTGATCAATTCATCCCACCAAATCAGGCATTATACACGCAAAAGACAGCATGGCGGCTATGGTTTTTATGTTCTGTAATGATCATTTCTTGAATTTTCCAGGTCCTACAAAGATTAGGATGCGAATCTTTAGCATCAGTTTTCATGTGAATCCGAAAGTGTTTTTGGATACGGGTTTCGCTTATTGTAACCCCACCTTATCTGTTTTTTTTTTTTGTTTCATTTTGCTAAGCTTTGGTCCACTGATGACTCGACTAATTAGCAGCCAGCCATTTTTGGAAGTAAACCAATCTTAATTTGTGGGTTCATAGCGCCATTGAAAGAAGTGGAGGTCAGTGTGGATATCTATTTTCATGCATTAGTGCCTGTGAGTGATGTCTTTTAAATGTCATATAAATAAAACCAAGTTACTTGTCTCGGTCACAATAATAACATTCTTGAGGTATAAACCAAATTTGCGTTATGATAAATGAAGATGCAGACGAACCTAGAGCAAATGGACTCAAATGATACCTTGATAAGGTTAAATAAGATGCCTTCAATATTGACGTGTGAAGAAAAACAAATCAAAGATAAAAAGACTCGATCCCTTTAGATATCAAGGACAAAATCATAATGTTATGCTATCCCTTTTGGAGATCAGCAGCCGATAGTTTCATGCATCAGTGTATCACCGTGTATGAAACTACAACTGGAGTCCGTATTCTGGCTTGTTTAAAACACGCGACACCAGTGAGTGAACATAGGCAGAGAGTGAGTTTTGTTTCGGTTATTGCGAAGCTCATTTCAAAGCAAGATCGAGGTCGAAGCTCATTTCAAAGCAAGATCGAGGTCCAAACCCGAAGGGAAGATAAGCTGCCGCATTGTAGTTGGTAGCTTTGGCAACCCCTTGGGAGAATCTCTCCGGTTTGAAAAGATGAACATTGGCTCCCCATAAGTCAGGGTCATGGTGAAGTGCTATGATACGGATGATGATCTCTAATGGAGTAGGCAGGGCAAGTTTTCCCAATCGGACTTCTTGTCCGACTTTTCTTATAATGCCGTTTACAGGAGGAATCCAAGGCATAATCACGCTATAATTCATAGTGTAGTTCAATGATAAACATGAAATGCTTACAATTTTTAGTTTGGAAATACCTTCCGAATCCGGGTTTCGATTGCCGAACACCTCTAACACCTCCGACCGTGCTTTGTCTTGCCAATCTGTGTGGGTTGCTAGGAGGAGGAATGTCCATGCAAGCAAGGAATTAGTTGTTTCATGGCCGGCAAATAGAAAGTTTTACATTCATCTACCAAATCTTGTTCCGAAAGCCTGCTTTTCTTGTCCGATTCATGATAAGCATTTACAAGTAATCCAAGAAAGTGGTGACCGAAGTTTTCCGCTTCTCCGGTCACGACTTTCTCTTCCCTTTTTCTAACGATCCTCATCACAGTATCACGTATTGTTTTCGCAAGTTTCTCTGGTTCAATTTCATCAGCCGATTTCCAAATCTCACTGCAAATGCAGACCAAACACCAATGAAATATTTCGTCAATGAACTTGCCTGATGAACAATGTAAGGCTTAAGATGAACTTGCCTGATGATAGGAATCCTTGTATAAACATTTCAGGTGTCAACCCCATGGGTTTGGTTAATGCTTCCCTTTGCATCTGGACAGCTTGTTTGTTGTTTCCAATGGATGAATTCATAAGGAGGTCTATAGATTCCCTGGGAATTCATCATCACCCGTGTACGATGAGGGATCCACCAGTACTTGTAGACGACATACAGGAGAGCAATGAGGAGGTAAAGGCACAAAGAAGCTGTGAAGAGTAGTAGAAGCTTTCCCATGGTGCCCATTCTTTTCTTCCTATATCTTAACAGATGATGAATCCATCATGTTTTGCAGTGTTTGTATTTGATGTGTTTTTTTATGTACACCCAATAATTTAAAATAGGTACAGTACAAAAATATCCTCATACTATAAGTACTATTTTATTAAGTCCATCTATTATTAAAAATTAATATAGTCCTCTGATTATAGATTGTTGCTTTGTTGAGTTCATCGACTATTAAAAGTTATAGAATGGTCACCCAACTATTTATTATGTTACAACTTCATCTTTTTTCCGTTAAAAAATTGACCGTATTCTGAGCTAAACGTTAACCTACTGACTATGTTATGATAAAATTTGATCTCATAATCTAAAACGACTTTCATATTTCGGTCATCATGTTAATGTCCAACTTAGACAACCGCCATTTTTTTAACGAAAAATGATGAGTTTGAAACATAATGAAGAGTCGGGTGACTATTTTGCAACTTTTAATAGTCGATGGACTTAATAAATCAACATTCTATAGTTGGGGAACTATTTTATAACTTTTAATAATTGAGCGACTTAATAAAATAATATCCTATAATTAGGGACCATTTGTGTACTTTACCCTTTAAAATATAATTTCAAAACTAAAGGACAATAATGCCTATCCCACTTAGAATAAGAAACTTATCTTGAGCCCCTTCTAGATTTTCATGTTTAATTAATAATTATCTAAAACTAACTTTGATTAATTATCGGTTAATTTAATGAAATAAAATATAATATTTTTTCAAATAAGGTTAAAGATTTAAAATTCAATATTGTAAATGAAAAAAATAAATGTAGACAATCATACTATAATAAATTTATGTAATATTATATCTAAATATTAAGTATGCCTTTAAAAAAATAAAAAATTTACATATTAAAACGGACCGAAACAGAGAGCTAAGTACTAAATGCGTAGTTTACTCTTTATCAAAGTAATTATACAAGGGACATGATATAGAGAATCATAATTATTCTCCACATCGTTGAATTAATTCACAAGCCCATTACTAGGAACGGTTCCTACAACATTTTTATTTATTGATAATTATACTATCAGCAGCCGATAGTTTCACGCATCAGCATGTAGTGAACGAAACAACAACTGAAGCCCATGTTCCGGCTTGAGCACAAGTCGCGTCACCGGCGAGTGAACATAGGCAGGGGACAGCGTGAAGCTGTAGCGTTGCAGAATCATGGAGAGAGCCATTTTTGTTTCGGTGATTGCGAAGCTCATTCCGACGCAAGATCGAGGTCCCAACCCGAAGGGAAGATAAGCTGCCGCATTATAGTTGGTAGCTTTGGCAACCCCCTCGGCGAATCTCTCCGGTTTGAAAAGATGAACATCGGGTCCCCATAAGTCAGGGTCATGGTGGAGTGCAATGATACGGATGTCGAGCTCTAATGGAGTAGGCAGGGCGAGTTTTCCCAATCGAACTTCTCGTCCGACTTTACGTATGGTTCCGTTTGCAGGAGGGTACAGTCTTAGTGTTTCATTGATGATCATGTTAATCTGTTGCAGGAAAAGGCATCATCATGCTATAATTCATGGTGTAGTTCATTGATGAACATGAAATGCTTACAATTTTTAGCTTGGCGATCGCTTCCAAATCCGGGTTTTGGTTACCGAGTACTTGGAACACCTCTGTTCGTGCTTTGTCTTGCCAATCTGTGTGGGTTGCTAGGAGGAGGAATGTCCATGCAAGCAAGGAATTAGTTGTTTCATGGCCGGCAAAATAGAAAGTTTTACATTCATCTACCAAATCTTGTTCCGAAAGCCTTATTTTCTCGTCCGATTCATGATAGGCATTTACGAGTAATCCCAGAAAGTCGTGACCGAAGCTTTCTGTCTCTCCGGTCACGACTTTCTCTTCCCTTTTCCTAACGATTTTCATCACAGTATCATGTATTGTTTTCGCGAGTTTCTCTGTTTCGATTTCTTCAGCCGATTTCCAAATCCCACTGCAATAGCAAACCAAAATTCGATTTTCAATTCGATGTTATTATAATACAATTACTAAACTTTTAATTCGATTAACTTGCCTGATGATAGGAATCCTTGTTTTATAAATATTTCTGCCTGCAATTGCTGATAGCTTCATCAGTATGTCAAAAATCTTCTCCCCTTCCGAGTAGCTGCTACCAAAAGCTGTTCTGGATATTACTTCCGAAGCAAATACTCTAAACTCCTGGTACACATCGATCTCTTCTACTTCTTTACCTTTCCATTTCTCTAGCATCGTTTCGACACTAGCAATGATCGCCGGAGTCATGTTCTGCAACATTCGACATAATTATATATACATGGTCAATGAATCAGATCATGATCGGGAGTTTTTACCTTTAAGCTCTCCCCATGAAAGGCGTGATTAGCCAGCTTCCTTTGCCTCGACCACTTCTCCCTCTCGGTGAAAGAAAGCCCTTCCCCCAACATCTTCTCCAAGAAATACGTGGGCTGTGTCTTTGGGAAAGCTTTTCACTGTTTCTCAGAACCTCTTTCACCAGTTCTGGTTCAGCGATTACGAGCTGAGCTCGAACTCCATTCCAACTAAGATGGATCTTCCCGTATTTGTTGATCCAGTGATGAAAATGAGGCCTCACTCTGGGGAATATATCGTGTGACAGACCCAGAGGCCTGCTCGACGCTTCCCTTTGCAGCTGGAAGACTTGTTTGTTGTTCCCATGGATGAATTCATAAGGCGGACCTCTGATTCCCTGTGAATTCAGTATCAATTGTGTACGGCGAGGGATACACCAGTACTTGTGGAAGATGTAGACGAAAGCGACGAGGAGGTAGAGGCAGAGAGAAGCCGTGAAAAAGAGTAGAAGCTTTCCCATGGTGTCCATTTCCTTTCTTTCTAGATCTTAACAGGCAGA